GAGCGAAGGTGGCTGGAATCGGAGTCTCGAAAGGAGGATTCAGGGATGGATTCGGGTTTGCGGCGGCGGCGCCTTCTCCGGCGAGTGAGCAGTTTATGGTCAAAAACACCGTCGTGCCTAAGCCGGTTAAGGCTTCGATTTCATCGGTGGCTCATCCTTCCGTCGAAGAAGACTCGATGATTATGCATAGGCCGGTTTGGGACGATTGGGAATTCGCCGAAGAGGAGCCGATTCCTAGGGTTGTTTTCAGTAAACCTCCTTCTCTCCAAGAGGCAAAGGAAGCAACCGAAGATCTGAAAGAAGCAATCAATATGTAAGATTAACACTAAATCGTATTCTTCTTTCTCGACTCTCGAACTTCAGTCAGTTATGGAACTTCAATATGTAAGATCTGCTTTCTTTACAGGAATCTTGATTGTGTTTTCTGGGTTATGTTACATATGAGATGCAGAAACAACCTTTAGTAATGAAGAGCGTTATTGAGAATGAAAGTCTTGTCATTTTGAAATACTACTTGGTTTGATTTTTGTTGCTACATACATATGAACTTGTGTTTATGTTTGTATATTGTTTATTTATGGATTTATGAACATTTTTTAGGGTGTATATCAAATCTCCAATGGAAGATTCAAATGAAGGTGGTTCTGTTTCCAAGATGCTCTTTCAAACTTCTGAGAACAGAGCTGTTGAATTAGCTGTTCCACAAGTTGCTCTTCAGGCATTTGCTTTTCTCAGTGAAAACACTGCTGCGCAGGTGTGTTGCTTTTGGTTAAGCTTCTCGCTTGTGCTACTCGATACACAGTTTGAATCCTTTTTTTGGGTTAATCTGATTAAATATTCACTCACAAGCTTGGATCTTTCCGATTTTGTCATAGTAAATGAGTCGTAAATGACCAAGGATCATCACTTGCCCTTTGAAGGAGTCAAGCTCAATCATTTTCCAGCAGGTGAATTACTTTATTTAAGTAAACTCTCTTTCTCTCTTTTAGTTATTTTATGTATGTATCTTGATCTGCCTTGATCTTAGAGCATGTTTATTGGTGAATTTTTGTGGGTTTTTTTAAATATAAAATTATTAAAATTTGAGTAAAAAGAAGAAAGAGAGTGTTTTTAGTTGAAATAATGGGGTGTATTGAAATATAAAATTATTAAAATTTGAGTAAAAAGAGGAGATAGTKGRTATTKTTGGAAKGAGAGTATCAATAGAATGAGATTTTGGAGAAAGWKTTAKGRTGTGTTTAAATATAAARWTAATAAAGTTGAGTAAAATGATGAAAGAGAAGGTATAAAGTTGAGTAAAAATATGAAAAAGAAGGTATAAAGTTGAGTAAAAGGAAGAGAGAGTGTGTTTTTAATAATTTTATATTTAAAGAAACCCACAAAAATTCATGGATAAACATGGTCTTAGGTGTTCCATTTGAGAGGTTTGGACCTGTGAGGGATGTCTATATCCCCAGAGACTATCACTGAGGGTGAGTATTGTTCCTTTTCCATGTCGTGATCTATTCATTTGCTAAGTATATATTCAGATTTATTTGTAATTATACGATTTATAATTCATCGATTGATCTAATTTGAGTTCTGTTTTCTAATTAGAGGAACCTTGATTGAGTTTTCTGTTTTCTAATCGAGTTTTCTAACATGATGCTATTTATAGAGATATGTAAAAGCAGAGCTAAAATATAACGTATTATTGCTATATGGAAATCGATTTTGTGTTTTTGGTTGGTTGAATATACTGATTTACGTTACTGCTTTTCAATTCAACCTTTCTTGATTTGTGGGAGGTATTTTTGTAGGTGAAAGGTGATGAGAGAAAAGCAGAGGAGTACTGTGAGAGAGCTATGTTATCTGATAATGGTAGAGATGGAGAGATGTTGTCTATTGATGGAGATTTGATATGGAAAAATCACGGAGATGGTGTTCGTGCTCAGTCTTACTTTGATCAAGCTGTTCAATCTTCTCCACATGATTGGTGAGTATAACATATTACTAGGATCAAATGTTATTTCTTTATATCCACCTTTTGAAGAACTGATTGGTCAATTTGTGGTAGAATAATAGCCTCAGACATAAAAAAAATGACAGTCATCATTTGTGAG